GAGTCCTATCCATTTATTTTATTATCCATGGTCTTATGCTACGTTGTTTTACCCAAGGACTTGGTCTCGTAAGCCCACGGGCGATGACGTGAAGGCACAAGTATCGAGTGCATGCCTTCGGCACGAGATCCCAAGGCCATACGGGGGCTTGCTCCCCCAAAAACATTGTGAAATTTAGAGTCTTTGAAACGCAATTTTATGCACTCTAAAGAAGAAAAGATTTACCGAATTCTGACGATTAAAAATCGACGTAGTGTATATTAGAATAGAAAATTTCTCAAACTGGACTTTTGGGTTTTCTTGTTCTTGCTCAACATGATTTCAATGTATTTTTGCCAAACAAAGCATTGAATATTTGCCCTACAAAAACATTGCTTCTCTCAAACATGGCGCCACATCCCGGCACCCCCCCCCCCCCCCCACCCCAAAGATTTACGCCCCTGCGCTTTATGCGGGTTCATATTAGCCCAGCTAATTGAAAACTCACCTGAGCTCGAGGGAGACCTACATGCCTTTTGTTAACGCACATAAAAGTCATTGTGTGCTCATAATTATGAGAAACGAGTCAGCCCGGCCAGATGTAATCTCACCTTCCGCTACAATCATCGAACAATTACTTTGGGACAAGTTAGAAATGTTTATCACTTGAAAAGAAAGTAGAATGTTTTGGGGTTACCTCCCCTTGCCCCCCCCCCCCCCCCCTCCCCACCTCCACCATACAATCTCGGTACAACAGCATATGATATTCACGAATATTTCACAACAGGGAACTGGTAGCGTTTAAGTATGACTGTACGTCCTTACGATAATATTTTGAAGCTGTTTGAAGCTCCTGTGTTTGTATACGTGGAATCTCAATCAAGTTGGATATAAGTTTCCATTTCAAGGCTTTATCCCACCTGACCGGAATGGACATTTTTTGCCGATTTGGAGCAATAACATAGAATTGAACGGCATAACTGGACAATAGAAACTAAAAATAAACGTTAATGTACCTAAACAGATACTTAAGCCCAGTTCACACTACACAATGATAACGATACGATAACTTGTATACGCGCGCTGATTGGCCAAAAATTTATCGTTATCGTCCGACTGAAAAAAAATCGCTCAGATGAGCGATTTTAAAATTGTTATCGTTGTCGTCAAACCAGGGCATTTTTAACTATTAACAGCCACTATGGTGCCCCCCCCCCACTCAACCATTTTGCCCCCCCCCAGTCAAAGTCCCTTTTCTCTAAAATATAAGCAAACCATGGAATTTAGAAGGGAGGTTTGATATTCTAGTAACTGAAATTTGCTTTGTGAACCTTATGTCCTGTCTTTTATGTTTAATAAATACCTTATTAGATTTTAAACATTTCCCAGGCAGTGGATTGCATTTCCCAGACCCTATAGATTTGAGTTGTTAGACAAGTTAGTGACCGCAGGGGGCAACAGGCCCTCAACCAAGTGTTTTATAAGGGGGGGGGGATAATTTTGGCCCCCCACAAAAGAAACAATTTGATTTCGAAACTAGAAGTATTTGAAATCATATATCTGTAATCGATATTTTGATAACATTTCTCGTAATAATCCATCCTGACTCGCGGATATCATAGACTCACAAATCATAATGAACGAATTAACGAAAGGGCCAAACAAAAGACGTATAGAAGACTTTGAAAATGCCATTCCCGACGATTTAGAGACGCAAAATTTTCAAAATTTTTCCATGCTGGCGCTTCGTGGGAGTCGGGAACTCTAAGTTTATCAAGCTGGCTCCTTAATTGACGACCAAGTTGTGGTATTTACATAAACATACTAACAGTACTTAACTGAAGGTTCAGTCTATCTACAGCATAATGTAATGCTGTGTATCCAATAATCTGTTTCGAAAAAGGCAGGGAATTGCAGTCATAGGGGTAGAAAAATACAAAAATTTTCTGGGGGAGAAAACCCCAGACCCTCTCCAGGGCCGTAGCAACCGGGGGGGGGGGGGGG